CACTGAGCTTGCTGACATCTTCCAATTTGTTAACCACGTATATATACTTGCTGATCACACACCATGAATGGTCCAACACGGCAAGACTAAAATCTTGTAATTGAATCCACATTCATTTGACTGATGAAAGCTTGGTGGTCCCCACAAGATGATTATCAAGATGCTGATGTAATGGGTGATGCACTAAACTTGTTGAGTGGTACAAGTTTAGTAACCTCAATTTTGAGCCACATTATTCAACAATCTCCACCTTGGCGAAAAATTCAAATGAGCCACTGTATCTCTACTAAACAAACTGTCTTCTCCACAACGCCCCTAAGGGCAATTTCAACATTGAGAATACCAACCAAATCCAGGCAATGCTTGAACTTAAGAGCCGACTTTGTCATCATATCTGCCGGATTTTCAGCTGCGCCAATTTTCTTCAATGTAGTAATTCCTTCTGATATGACTTCCCGAATAAAATGATATCCGAAATCATCAATTGAGTTTGTAATATCAATTAGAGACTAGAGAGTGAGAGCTTGTGGTTGTAAATTGAGTTTTGGGTGTGAGCCACTTTGCTTTGTATCTCTTTATTTCCATAGTGAAATATTGTTCTGTCTTCTCCCCGTGGACGTAGGCATAGCTGAACCACGTAAATCCTTGTTTCGTTTGTGTGTGTGCCTATTTATTTTCTTGTCATTAATTTTCTCTTTTTTTTCATAAACTCCTATTCGATCCTTATTTCATAACAACAAGAGTAAATTACAAAAAGGCCAAACTACCATAGGCCTAGTAAAAACTTATAGGAAGAACATAACACCCAGATAAAGGAGGTGACCTGTCACTACTTGACAAGAATCCTCTCCATCATCAACTAAATTATGATTCCATTTGAATATAGAGAATACCAAAGAAGGTTCTAGTAGTTATCAAAGAAAGCATAAGTATTTACATGGACTAGGAGATGCATTCAAAATCTAACCAATAAGAAAACCTCAAAATATCATTACAGAAACCTACACGTCTTCCCCAGGGTCTACTAAATAGAGCCAAAAACTTTGCTTTCCCAGCATCTCCAAAAACTTCTTCCTCATTTCTAACCACCTTGGACTACTAAGAGATCACCTATCAAAGTTGAACCTGATTATATGTAATGAACAGGCTATTCAAGGAAAACAATCTCCCAAAATAAAAGTACAGGAACTTGAGAGTTTCTAACTACACTAAAGCCAAAGGGAAATATATATCTTAGTAATGTCCCAAACAATTCTCCTTAACAATAGCTTTTACAGTCCTTTTAGTCCAAATGTTGAAACAATAGCTAGCATGACATATCCCTAGTAGTAATGTCCCCGAAATCCCCAAAAGATTGAAAGGATCACAGCAAAGTACAAAAAAATTTGGCAAAAACCCACCAACTATTCCCAACCAATCCAAAGAGCTTCTACCAAATCATTTATGCAAACAAACAATGCATGCAAAAGGATGATTGATCAAGCAAGAGAATACGATTATTCTGCCTGTTAGGTATATGTCTGACATGTTGGAGCGCTCAAAACTTGTGTTGTAATGTGTCAAAGGGTCTTGTATTGTTATAGCAAATCTATTGCAGACAAGATAGACATAAAAGTGCGATGAACACATCGTGAATCTCACATTCTCAATCGACTTAGTTTGATCTTGGGCTCATAAAAATGTTTCGTAAGTGCTTTGAAAAGGCATTTTTCAAATCTAAAGTTTTGTACATTTTTTTAAAAACTGGTTTGAACTGGAAAGTAGCGTGCATCAATCAAATGGTTGATCGAGAAGCTTCCAAAAGACATTGATCAAATGGTCAATAGATCGAGATGTTCCAGGAAAATTTATTTTCAAAACGAACCTCTCAGACATGAATCTTTGGTAACTCTCTCAAAGTACAATTTTACAAGGATTTAACTACTTAAAACATACAAAACTCCTATATTGTCTATAAATATGGGGTCTAGGGGAGAGTTGAATGTCTTTATGCATCTAGAAAGAGAAATTCCTTGTGAAAGAGGAGAATCCCTATTTTACTCAAGCTAGGGATTCCTTGTAACTAGCATCATGTGTGATTGAGTTTTCATCAAGAAGAAGATCATTGATTCTATTCCATTCAACTGATCAATTCTAATAATAAAGGGCGAGCAATCACTGGAGAAGCATATTCGTGAGAAGCAAAGTCTGTTGATGAGAGAATGAACGGCCTAGAGACTTTTGTGAAAAAGTTTGGCATCATCTGTGTTTAGAGTTAACTAGGGGTTCTAGGGTGAGGGAACTGTTAATCTGGTTGTGGTCTCTTTAAGAATAGTGGATTGTGCTTGTCTGGACTAGGTCCCATTATTTTTCCCTTTTGAGTTTTCCATGTAAAAATAGTCATCTCTACTCTACTTTACTTTCTGTTTATTGCTTGACTATCAGTTGATTGATTGAAAATGAAAATTAAGTAGAAGTTTGATATCAATCTTCACAATGAACTAACTGAAGCTTAAAATAATTACTGAATATTCAAAAATTTAGTTACAAGAGGAAAATATCCATAATATCTATTCACCCATAAGGAGAGAGGGAAGGGGGGGAGTCACCGCTAACACTATATAAGAACCTTGGGCAACAGTCTAGTGCAGTTTCACTACCTATTTTAGTGATTTCTCAGCTAAGGACATATTTTTGGACAAGGATCCATTTTTAGAAAGAAGAGAGAGGTAATGATAAATTAGAGCATAATTTTAAAGAGCATTTCTCCCTCAAAGCAAGTGATCAATGCAAACTCTCAGACCAAGAAGGAGTGAACTTTGATGGATTTTAGAAACTCATATTACCAGAAAAGTATGACTCCATGAAATGAACTAAAATTTGTCCAAAGGGAACATTTATAAATAAAGCCACGGATGCTCAAAAGGGCATATGTTCTTATAAAGGTCTTTCTCAAAGTCTGATCGTGGAGAATTTCGCAACATTTTCTACCTAGTTAGGAAAATGATGTCCTTAAGTAATAAAGTTTCACTTTGAATAATTTTGCTAATTACCCTATAACTTAAAGGGTACCGTTATGCCTTTCCAAATTGGAAAATCTTCATTACCATTGCGTTAGGCAAATAAGACTTATGTTGGAAATTTTCATTTCATAGGCCTAAGTCTGTTTTGTTTTTAGATAGGTTTAAAAAGTTAGCTAAAATTAGTTGGTTACCTCTTGTCTAAGGGCATATTCAGAAGATAAGGATACAATCCTAGGCAAAAGTGTAAATCCAACAGTCAAATATGCACTCAGCATTAGGGTTTGTATGTTCATGCATTCATTCAATTAAGGTGTCATCATATTATCTTTTGTATCCATAAAAACCCCTGTCAACTGCAAAAAAATGTTTTTGCTACTTTCCTTAAACAAAATGCAGATTGGAAAAGGACAAGGTACCTCTATTGTTCAAAGAATCAATCGAAGGCTACAGGCAATGTGTTGATTGATTGACAATTGGCTCGACCAATCAAACCGTGTGAAATTCAATTTCCTATAGAACTGAATCTTTTCTAAAACATAATCTTTTAGGACATCAAACTATATATAAGGACCACCTATATTCATAAAACCTATGCAAGCTACATACTCTTATCTCTAAGCGTATAGAGCAGGTCGTAAGTGCATTTTAACAAATCCCTGCTAGAACTTTGTTTCTTTCATATTCATCATTCCATCTACATTGGTGAGTTTGTCTTTTGGGTGGATCATTAACTTGTGTTGCACCTACAGAGCTTTCAACACCAAGGAGTTTCACATACTGGACACTCGTAAAAAAGCGAATCACTTGAGGAGGGGATTTGTCCACGGGGTAGACAACTTGGAGACTCCAGTGGAGAGTTTAACATCAGTCTGTGTCTGGAGGTAACTAGGAGTTTTTTAGGGTTTTGATAACTGTTAACCTAGTTATAAACTTCGTTTTCATCAGTGGATTCAATCTGCGTAGACTAGGTTCCTTGCTTTTCCCTTTATGGTTTTCATGTGAAAAATCTTGTGTGATTATTTGCTTCACTTTACTTTATAATTTTATATATGCTTAGTATTATGATGAATGGATTGATTTATATGCTTGCTAGTTAGTTCATTTTTTGAATTGTCATTAATTTAATTATGATACAAAAATTAGTTAAAAACTATAAATTAATCAAGCCGTGGATCTAGATTAAGGGCATTGCAACTCAGAGCCTAGGGTTATGGACCTATTATATCTCTCACATTTATTTGTTGGGGCTTTAATTTGAGCTCTCACGTTAGCCAAACCTAATCCACATCTGACTTTAAAATGAAAAATGGCTCTCGAGCAACCAAGTGATTTTTCCAGTCCTTAATCACCCAAACCACAAATCATTTCATTCAATATGCTTGTTTCACTAGAAATGCTACCCGAATTTACTGAAAAAAGATATATAAATTGGGATGTTGGCAAAGGCTGACTAAATAGGAGTTTCAAAATATGTGACCTGAAACAAAGGTTCATGATGCTTTGCATCTGTAACAATAGAGAATTGTATAATCTGCAAAATTGAAGAAATTCTGGTACGGTTCATTCCGGGATATGCATACCCAAAGGTTGCTAGATTAAAACACCGAATAAAAGGAAATCTAGGATAGCCCAATTTGCCATCGGAATAGGAGAACTAAAACATACCAGATATGATTTGAGCCCTAAAATTCAAGCCAATATAAACATAAGACCAGAACCAAAACAAAAAATCTAAGACATCCCCAAATGATGAATTGAGCACTACACCAGAATGAAAATCAGTAAACAAAAACCCATCAACAAAAATCCCAACAAGCCCATCAAACCATCAGACTGAAGAACAAAACAACAGTACCCAATTAAATTAATGATTTAAGCACCAAACCACATCAACAAAAATCCCAACAAACCCATCAGACTACCAGATTGAAGAACAAACAACAGTACCCAATTAATGATTTTGAGCGCCAAACCACAACATAAAGATGAGAAACTCACCTCATGAAAGGTACAGACAGGGATGATCTCAGAGGAACTCTGCCCACTAGAGCAGTCAATATCAACAGAGACATTTGGAACAACAAGGGCATCAGACACCACAAGATCCCTGGTTGTTTCCTCCTCAAGGTGAACTAAGCGAGACCCAGGAGCCCCTTTGCAGTAGAGAAGTCTGATATCAGAGGTGACATCAAAACCTCGACCCAGTGCTTGGATTGAGTTGCAGAGAGTGGTGGTCAAAGCATCTGAAATCGGATTCTTTGTTGTTGTTGTTGTTGTTGTTGTTGTTGTTGGGTCTTCCATAGATGAATCGATCCTTCATTGGGGATAGAGAGAAGGAGGAAGGATTTGGTGGGTTGTGAGCTTCATTCTGATGGTAAAACAAGGTGGGTGTCTCTAGTTTTGTTTGATTTTGAGGGGGTGTTGGTGTTGGTTGTGGTGTGGTGGGGTAGAGGTTAGACTTTGGACTTTGTTGGTTGTTCTTCTAAGGCTGGCTTTTGACTGTAATAATGTCTGTAAAACGCGCTTTCTTGTGTGTGTACGCGATTCTTGGTGGTGGACTGGTCTTCTTAGTACTAACTTCTCTCTCTCCTCCCCCCCTCTCTCTCTTTCTCTCTCTCTCCAAACGCGTCCTTCTCTTCTCTGTATGGAGGATTCTTGGTGGACCTGTCTTCCTTGAATCCTTGTTATCTTTTCTCCTCGTGTTTCATTCCCCCTAAATTGATATACGGAGTATTCAAAAGTCCAAACAAGCCGATTAAAATGAGATGATTACACAAAAACAACTACTCCGTAAAACATAATTTCTGATTGAGTCGTGCTACAATGCACGAAATAAATATCTAATGATTGAGTCGTGCTACAATGCACGAAATAAATATCTAATAATTTATTACTGTACTATTTTTTTTTTTTTTTTTTTCATTTTCTTCAGACTTTCATCTTCCAAAGCTATTTAAAATATCGTTTTTTTTTTTATTCTACAATTTACAATTATTGGCACATAAAAAGTAATTTTTTAAAAAAAGTTTTTGTCGAGTTCAGTTATAACTATAATTATGTTTGATTTGATAGTGCGACTCAACAATTAGCTTAAAACATTTGTTAATAACTTAAGGCTCGTTTGTTTGAACGTAAAATATTTTTTAAAAAATATTTTTTATTTTTTTGGTATTTATTTGTTGTAAAATATTTATAAAGAAAAAAAAATATTAAAATTTAACAAAAATAATTTATCCATAAATTTTAGATAACTCGACCTTAACCTCAACGTAGACTTTTGCCAAAAACTAACAAAATAAAAATTAAATAATATTTTACCTTAAAAAAATTTATATTTTAAAAAAATATATATTTTAATTCGAAATAAACGAAACCTAAAAACAATAAAAAATAAACATAGACAATGAAATATAAGATTTGAGAAATTACCAAATGGTGTGAATCTAATCAAAAGTATCAACTAGAACTCATAAAAGTTCAGTAATACTTCGTATATTTTTCAAAAGAAATTTTTTTAAAAAAATTAATGATTGAAATGGACCATATGGTCCATAAATATCTAATAATTTTTTTAACATAATTTTTTCCCGAACAGGCCATGAGGTGACACGTGTTCATAAATATCTAATAATTAATGGTAAGATTTATGAAAGTAGGTAGTTAAGCAAATACTTTTTTTTTCTCTTTTTTTGTTTTTTCCGATACCTAGTAAAAATAATAATAATAAAAATAAAAATTTACTTTTTTGAAATTGTTTTGGGTTTGACTTGACCACCAAGTTGGGGATATAGTACATAAATATCTAATATTTTTTAGTAAAATTTATTTAAGTAAGACAAACTCAAAGACTTTCCTCAACTAGTGAGATTATAAATAATGTTGTTAGAGAATTTTATTATTATTATTTTTTATTTGAAAGGTAGTTAGGAAAATACGTTTTTGATCCGTGTTATTTGTTTTTGGTTTGATTAATCTGTGAAGTATTGAGCCTTTTAAACACGCTTGCTTGATGACAGATCCACAAGGAAATAAACCATAAAAGGATGATGAATCAGAAAAGGAAGAATGAGGACTGTTCTTTCCACTTTATAAAACGCAAAACACATTTAAGATATTGTTACAACTAATGATGTCATTTGACACCTATTCAATTTTGTATGTTGAGCTTTTTTTTCTGAAAAAAAATTTTTGATCTGAAAAACAAAACAAATGATAATGACACTATGCTTCATAAAACATTTTCAAAGGTGATTTTATGAAATATTTTTTCTGAAAAAGTCAACTTCCAAAAATTACTAAAAGAAGCAACGACTTTGACTGCATTACAAAAATTCAAACACTCTAAAAAGGGGCATATTCATAATTTTCATAGTTTTCAATTTGGAAATTTAAACACCAACGCTCAAAAGTTATGTTCCGTCGCATGTAGTTGAAGTTTTAAAATTATAATTAGTGTAATTTGAGAAAAGTAAATTAAAAAATGGAACAAATTTTTTTTCAATTTTAATATTTAAATTCTAATTTCATACAGTCAAACTCAGCCAAAATAAAAATTAAAATTGAAACAAAACTTGACAGAATGTTAACTGGTTGAGCTTAAAATACTTTCTAATGAGCATTTATATATGAAAGTCTCTCCACATGTCAAAATCTGCTAATCAATTTTGGATGCATTGGACCACTCGTGTTGACTTTTGCAACAGAAGGGAATTGCATAATGGCAATATTTTTGTTAATTTAAAGCTATTTATTATTAACATAGTACAGTTCAACTGAAAGAAATCAATACTTTGATTTAATTTTCAATTTTTACACGAAAATAATTTAAATATTTTTAAATGAGAGAGATTTATTCTTATTTATCACTAATCAAGAATTATCGTTATTCATTAGTGATTGAAATAACAAATAGTGATTGAATTAAGAAGAAAAAATCGATCATCAAATGTAACCGTGTACTCATTTGTGCAATATATGGGAGTTTTTTTTTTTTTTTTTAATTATGCGTCAAAATTAGTGCAGGAACTAAGAAGGGTCTGAATTGTGAAACTGGTGCTGTCATGGTGGCTTTAGAAATCCCAAAGGAAATTTCTATGTATCAACAATGTAATTTTAGTTTGTACCATACCTAGCTCTATAAAGTGTTTTCACCATCTAGCCCATCAAGGTTGACCTTTGACTTCCTTTATCAATTAGTCAAAACTAAAAAGAAATTCATAGGGAATTTGGTGGTGAGAAGCAAAGAATGCCAACTACAGTTGGTACTTAGTATTGGATGGAAGTTTGGCTTCTGCTACTGTGGTTGACAATGAGCATCAATGGTGGTTGAGCCGTCAGAAAAAGTTTGGTCCCTTTTCTTTGTGTGTGTGTGTGTGGGCGCGCAGAATCCAGGTCTAAATTGGTAATTGCAACGAGGGTCATTTGTCTCATATCGGATTCAGATAAAAAAATGATTCGGTATAAATAGGTGAGTATGTAACTTTACTCAACAGTTTGATTTTTTAGGTAAATGGACAAGTACTCACACATTACAATTAGTATTTGATCCGGTGTCACGCCAAGCGTTTGACCAGAACGTTATCCGGATTTGCAGCCCGACTATACACTCTATAAATAGAGGTAGAGGAAGTTTTGGAGTATAAATAGAGGTAGAGGAAGTTTTGGAGGTTGCTGAACTATGGCTATGGCACAAAGCTTGCTCAACTTCCGCAAACCCTGTAACAAAGGTCATTTATCTCCCATCAGATTCGGATTAAAAAGTAATTATGTATAAATAAGTGGGCATATAATACTATTCATTAGTTTGAGTTTTTAAATAAATAGACAAGCACCCACTTCTTAAAGTAATGGACTGGGTGATTTTGATTTGTTGGTTATATGTATTGATCAATCTGGATTCGTGAGTGGTTATCGGTCAAGTGGCCCATTTGAAGGTAGGGTGAGATCTTGGGCCATTTATTATTCATGGTTATGGAGCTGATTGCTTATAATTGATCTTTTGGGCTCATCTAGAGTTTTGCAGGTCCGACCTATAGTAAAAAAACCGAAGAGCCTACAACGCTAACATGGAATAAAATTATCTACTAGTTAATTTTTCCTTTTTGATTTTCCTTTTTGGGTATTTTACTAGATAACATGAGTAGGGTTATAAAGTTTTTTAGTTAATGTGAAATAATAATAATCAAATGTAGTATTCCCGTTAATATCTGAAACACTCTTGGAATACTCCAAGTTCGAGTATTCCAATTGTGTTTTGTAAAATTAAGTTTATGATTGTTAAATATTTGATTATATTACAAAAAATTTACAAAATTTATTCAAATTAATTTGAATCGTTTTTTATAAATAAAAAATATATATGTACATCGGGCATTTTGAATCGGGTTTAAGAAAAAAATTTCATTGATGGGACGGGTATGAAAAACGGATGTCCCGGCCCTAACTCGTCACATTAACATCCTTATGTGTGCATTTATGATTGGATTATATTATTTTTTAAATTTCATTATGAACTTGTGATTTTATCTTATATCACCACCCTAATGAAGGGTGAATATAGCAACAATCCAAATGGCCCCAATCTCCACTAGGGTAGACGTTTGACACCAGATTAACGATTAAATCTAACTTTGATAACATAGTAATAAGCCACATGTTCATCCTCTTATCAACGGGAGTGCATACCCGCCTCCTTTCTCATATGAATTTATTGTAGGACAAGGTCACAAGACCTCTAACACATGAAAATTACCGTAAATAGTCTTTTGTAGTACTATTGTTTTATATCTTATGTTCATCCTCTTATCAACGGGAGTGCATACCCGCCTCCTTTCTCATATGAATTTATTGTAGGACAAGGTCACAAGACCTCTAACACATGAAAATTACCGTAAATAGTCTTTTGTAGTACTATTGTTTTATATCTTAAACACGGCAACATGACATAAATGTTTAAATTTACTTTATTTTATTTGGTTCTTTTAGCTTTCTTGGGAAGGGATTTCATTTTTATGTAACAATTATAAAGAGCGAGGATTATGTCATAACAAACTGCCAGATCAACCTTAATAATTTTTCATTTCTTTATTTCTAACACAAACAAATAAAACACAATAGTTGATGTCGTGAATTCATTGTTTAGAGTGGCCGCCAGAAGATCCTATTCCATTGCTTTCATCATTTTAATTAAATTTAATCCGATCGCTATCATTTAAACATACAAGCAATAGACCACGCATAGATTCCGTGTGTGTGTGTGTGTGTGTGTAATCCCAATGCAATGCACTTTTATTTTTCATTTTGTTTCTCTCTCTCCCCTCGTTTGGTTCGAGTCATTTTGTTTTGTTTTTTTCCTTTGGAAAGGGAGATATGATGTTTTGTTATGGAACTTATGACAATTGATATATATTTTCCCTATATTTTATGCAGAATGTGTTAATACATCCTTATCCTTGTCAATATAGATATAATTTGTCCCCATGCATGCAGCATGAAGCATGAGTAGAAATTCTATATAAATTTGCTACAGAACATCTCAAAGCTCATCAGCAATTGCATACTAAGAAAATTAGCTGGCTTTAGCTCCCAACTGCCAAAGAAAGAGAAACCAATGGGCTCTGAAGCTCTTCTTCCTGTCATAGTTTTCTCAGATAAGCTAAAGTCGGGCACTCTTGAGTGGGAGTCGGTGAGAGCCCGGGTTCAGCAAGCACTCCAAGAATATGGTAGCTTCGAGGCTTGTTTCAACAAAGTTCCTTTTGAGCTTCGAAAATCGATGTTTGGTGCAATACAAGAGATCTTTGAACTTCCTTTGCAAACAAAATCAGGTATCCCTGCTAAGACGCCCTTCGGTGGCTACATTGGGAAGTCACCAACAGCACCGTGGCGGGAGATCATGGCTATCGAAGATGTACTCATCCCCGAAAAACTCACAAGCTTCACTAATCTCTTGTGGCCACAAGGAAACCCTAGCCTTGGGTATGTAAATTTAATTTACATATTGTTCAGCACTAAACCCGGCCATATTGTTCAGTTCAGAATTTCAACAAACGAATCGATTTCAAGTTCTAATGATTGACAACCATTTTCATGCTAAATAAAACAATTTGAAAATTCCATGTATTTGTAATTTTTCCTTAATTCTAGTTAATTACTTTTTTGTTGTTGTAAGTTGTTGTATGCTGTCAAGGATCTTGAAAACCTAGTTAAAAACAAAATCACTTATCTATTTTAAAAGTTTATAATACCCGTTTTTATAAAATTGTACCAAAAAGGAGCAGAAGATTACTTTGACTGCGTACATACGTACTCTTCCTTTGGCAGCAAAATCTTATGGTCCTTCTCATAACAACTACCTGAAATGGATCAAATGATTAGGAGGATGGTTTTCGAGAGCTTTGGTGTTGAGAAATACTATGATCATCACATAAGATTCGTCCCGATATGGTCTTCGGGCCATGAAATTTAATTATATATTATTACTTTTATTATTATTATTATTATTATTATTTAAAGTTAAAGCGAATTGCCTTGAATCCCTTAAAGTAGGGTCTCGGCCACCTATTAGTTTTTGTCGCAGTTAGTTAAAATAAAATTATTATTATTTTTTTTTCTTTTTTTAAGATTTAACTGTTTTTGGAAGATTACTACTTCTAGTGATCACATGCATACTCTTCATTTGGCAGCAAAACAGTAGGGGCCTTCTCAGAGAAAGTAGCTGAATTGGATCAAATGACTAGGAGGATGGTTTTGGAGAGCTTTGGTGTTGAGGAATACTATGATGAACACATAGATTCGAGCCGATACAGTCTTCGAGTCATGAAGTATGAAGCTCCCGAAACTATGGAGAGCAAACTTATGCTGAAACCACACACTGATAAGAACCTTTTGACCATATTGTATCAGATTAATCAAGTAGGTGGTTTACAGGTGCAAAGCAAAGACGGAAAATGGATCAATGTGAAAACCTCGCCGGACTCTTTCATCGTCATGGCCGGAGATTCTTTCCACGTACGTTAGTTTCTTCACTTGCTCGATCCCCTTGCATTTTTTATTTTTTATAATTAATATGTGGAAATTAAGACAGACAAAAGAAACAAATAATTGACACAAAATAGGTTTCAAATAAGGGTGTTTTCTGAAAACAATTCTTCAAATACAATAGATATAATATAAGAATATATAGTGTGTAAGAATTTCAAGTTTTTAGGTTCCACAATCATTCATGTTCCTGTTTATTGTGACACAAAAATCAAATGACATGCTGCAAATAAAATACAATATGCATGCACCAAGATCATGACATTTCTTATGACTTTAAATTCTATCACTGTGTAGGCATGGACGAATGGGCGCGTGCGCGCTCCAGTTCATCAGGTTACGATGACCGAAAATGAAACGAGGTACTCAGCGGGATTGTTTGCGTCCCCAAAAGAAGGCCGCATTTTAAAAGTCCCAGGTGAGCTAGTGGATGAAGAACACCCATTACAATTCAAGCCCTATGAATATTTTGAATATATCAAATTCTTCAAAACTGAGAAAGGAGAAAAAGCTCATGAATGCGGCATAAAGGTTTTCTGTGGTGTTTGAAATGATCACCATGAGGTAAAAATACTTTTAATCTATTTATCCTCTAACTTACGAATATGAATTGGGAACTGCTATTCTAGCCACTCATAAAACCGAAAATATCAGGGGCTATTATTGATGGCTTGAAGTGGGATCCAAATATTATTCTTACTTCATGCCGTCAAAAATCAATTTACATATGATGAAATAAGATATGTGTTTGTTTCTTTTATGCTATTTGATTGGTAGCGTGTTGATTGACTATCATGGCATGTCAGGATTAAATTTAGCATATCTGCAGGATGTCTTTTTGGGGAAAATATTATATTTTTGCAATAAGAAAACCCAACACAACAGGTTCTCATTGTCATTTTACTTGTTTCAATGAACTTAGAATACATAAAAATGAGTGCGTGCTAGGAACAGTAGCCGCCACGGGTAAGAGGAACAGAGTTAGGAATTTGTTTTAGGATCATATTTGTTTGATGGTAGAATGAATCCAACATCGGTTGGCGAAGAAGTAAATTTGAAACTTATACAGGCCAAGAACCACTCCGCTTAATGAATCGACCTTTTAGGTAGGATATCCCTATCTCAGCAACTAGTACAAATGAAATTACACAATCATAAATGTCCAAACGGCTTGCAATGCAATGTAAATTTTATTCATGCAATGACAACAAAAAGTCGACAAACATGTTACTCCGAAATTCACTTTGACTTGTGCATATAAAATCGCCGTCCATGGTATAAGATTATATGTGAGCGCAGTTCAGAAAGTGCCCAAAAAACATATCTATCAAGTTTTACTCCAAAGCTGCAACTACATTTGATTAACCATAAATTACGCTCAGCTTGTTCGAGCTTAAATATTACTACTATATATATTTAAATACAAACAAATAAAATACAATAATAAATCTTGTCAGATGTCGTGAATATATTGTTTAGTGGCCGCCACACATATAGAAGAACCTAATCCATTTTCTTTCATCATTTTAAATTTATTCTGATTACTGTCATTAAACATACAAGCTATAGAGCATATATATATATATATGATCCCAATGCAATGTTTTTTAAATTTTTGTTAGCAGCTTTTTTTATGACAATGCATAAAAAATTAACATGATAAAAAAATATATTGTATGCAGAACTTGTTAATACATCTTTGTCAGTACAATATAATATATATCATGTAAATATTCCCATGCAACATAAATAGAAGTTCTATATAAATTGGCGATAGAACATCTTAAAGCTTATCAACAATTACATGCTAAGAAAATTAGCTTCGATCTTTAGCCCCTAACTGCCTGCCAAAGAAAGAAAAAACAATAGGCTCTGAAGCTCTTCTTCCTGTCATAGATTTCCCAGATGAGCTAAAGCCAGGCACTCCTGAGTGGGACTCGATGAGACCCCGGGTTCAACAAGCACTTCAAGAATATGGTGGCTTTGAGGCTTTGTTCAACAAAGTCCCTTCCAACAAGCACTCCAACAAAGTCAGTATGTCTACTGGCTCCTTCGACAATTCCCGTTTAATTCACTACAACAAATTTGGGCTGTTGCCACGAATTTTTTTGCCACGCGTAAAATTTTGTGGCAAAAAGTATCTTTTGGCCACAAAATTAACTTGTTGTGGCTAATATATGAGGGTTTGCCACGAAGTAAATTTTTTGTGGCAAATACTAGTTCTTGCCACGAATATTAGGGACGACTTAAAACTTTGTGGTAAAATATTAATTTTGCTACGACGAATTAGGGACGACATACAAAGTTGTGGCAAAATGCTATTTGTGCCACGAATTTCTGTTCATAGCAATTGTATGTTTCTTTTGCCACATATATATATTCGCGGCAAATCGCTTTACAATTTGCCATTATGTTATTCTCGTAGCAAATATAATTTTTTGGCACGAAGTTTTTTTCTCGTGGCTAAAAGATAGATCCTGCTACGAATTATAAGTTGTGGCTATGATATGCTCTATTGCCACGTAACTATTTTTGTGTCAAATCTATTAATTATTCCCAACGATGCTTTATTCGTGGCAAACCGTATCTTTTACCATGAATTTTTAATCCTTGTGGCGAAATATCACTTTTACAACGAATTTGTTTTCGTAGCAATTAGGAATTATTTTGCCACGAATTTTCAAATTTTGTGACGAAATGCCATTTTTGTAACGAATTTGTTTTCGTGACAATTAAGATATCTTTGTTGACTATTATTATTTATTTATTTATTTAGTTTTGGTAATTCTTACAACACCGAATCTTTAAGAAAATTAATTAATTGTTAATAAAAATTTAAAGTGGCATTTCCTTTAAATTTGATCCTTTTTAAATACCACTACTTGTCATACATAAAAGATTAAAAAAAAATAAAAAAAAAAGGATGGGTGTGTGAGTATATTTCTCGTCATGAAAAAAAAAGGTCGTTTACTAGTTGGATTTATTTATCAATTAGTGTGTATAATATACACATACTTATCGGTCAAGTACTAAATCAATAAATAATTAAACTTAATTCGCACATGGTACACATATATTTTTGCACATAAATATAAATAATCAACTTATTATACGACCTATTCTATTATATATTAATTGACCACCTTGAGATTGAGATGACTTTTAGTGAACTTAATTTCATACCACTAAGTTGGATACAATAATTAATATTAAATCTTAAAACATTATAATTATTATTACAACATACAAATAATAAGATCGATGTATAGATGTATAATAATTACAAATGACTATGAAATGTAAACAGACTTACAGAAAACCTTCTTTATTGAACTTCCAAGCTAGTACAGAGAGAAATATTACAAAAGAGAGAAAAGGAAATTGAAAGATACATTGAAGAGAAACTTTGGCCTCTATTTATACATAAAATGAACTTGAAATTATCATTTTGAAGTCCGCATAGTGCATGGGATCGTGTGCTGGAATAATGCAGTCGGTCGGCCCACCACTAAGTTCTGTCTCCTTATCGGATAGAAAGTGGATATTTGATGAAGGAAATACTGTAGAATCAAAGACTTTTGGGAAAAGTTCTTTGGCTTCTTCTGTCGGCAGGATAAGAGGAATCTTTTACTTTTTAGGTGGATTCATCTTGTCCATCAAGTGACTGGTGAGAGAGTCCCAATAGTCGGCTACTGTAGGCTCATCTTCAGAAATAAGATCTTCATTGGGATCTTGTGCATAACCAGCTAGACAGGAAAACTGATTACCTTCTTGACTGGTCGGGCTAGAGACTGACACCATGGATGCATCATCTCGTACTATAGGTGTGGAGGAATTAAAAGATTTAACAAATTTGGTCCTCATAAAATCCATGCATTTAACCATTAAATCAGCTTCGGTAATTAATGGTTGTTGTTTTCTGATCATATCTTTAACAAGTTCAAATGGGTTAAAGATTTCGGGTTCTGGAATAGTTAACTTTGGAATCTTATCCATGTATTCCAGTGTTTTCTTTCTGATCTGATAGAGGAGGGCTTGGATAGGATCTTGAGTCATGCCTGACCACCATCGGTAATAAAAGATTCTCTGAAGGACTAGTAACTTGTCAGTGGTATAACCACATTGGAAATCCCATTTCCAAATCCAAGGGATTCCAAATTCAGTAAAGAACAATAGGGTGGATTTCCCTACAGGAACATTATCCTGTCCCCGTAATTGAGGATGAAATTGTTGCCATGGCAAGTATAATTGTCTGACTGATTCCGGCAACATATCCAGATCAGGGCCAAATATAGCCCACCAGGGTATAACTCAGTTTGGGAAATCAGTCTTAACTGATTGAGGGCATATCTTGAAGAACCAAGAATGCTTATGCTTCGGATCTTGATAAAAGAACGAATATGTCCAAGTTGAGATATAATCCCAATAATTGTAACTGTGACCATAGGATATTTTCCTTGGCAAATTGGGATTTAATCCCCAGTCACTAGGCCGTATAAGCCTCTTAAAGATAGCTTTACTATAAGTAAGAGGACTATCTTTGGAATTCGGAAATTGCTTCGTGTGGTTGATTTCCACAGAGGAAGTTTCAGTAAGAATAGCTTCATAGATATATCTATGGCGACCATCCGGTGCAGCATATTGTTGAGTTTGAAAATATCTGGATTTTACTTCCCAAGGATCTGGCATCTATTGCTCATCCTGAGAATCCAGTACCAATACTGTTTGAATATACCTTTGACTAGGTATCCATGGAGTTTCTTGTTCAAGAACCTCTTTCATGGTTGGTTTCTGTTGTTTTGCTGGGTACTGCTGCTTCCTTTAGAAGGTGTGTTGAGCAGATCAGCAACATGCTCCAAATATGGAAATTGATCATCAGTGAGTGGTAGAACCACTTTGGCTTTAGCCTTGTTTTTGCCACGAGCCTTTGGAGTATTACCCCGGCCCTGCCCATGGGGGGGGGGCGGATTCATGAACCCTGCAAAAATTCCCGAGTGAGAAAATCAGGTAAAGAATTAGAACTGCCTTTAATATATTCAATAGAAAAATCAAAAGCAGATAAATCAGCTTGCCAACTAGCAAATATCTGTTTGGAAACTAAATTATTTACATCTTTTTCCAGTACTTGTTTAGCAGCACTACAATCAATGCGTAACAAGAATTTCTGATTGATTAAATCATCTTGGAATTTATAAATGCATTTAACCAAAGAAAGAATTTCCTTTTTGATGGTTGAATAATTTAATTGTGCATTTTTCCAAGTTCCTGAAGTGAAGCGAACAAGCGCCTCTGTTCCTGTGTTTGGATTTTTCTGTTTAAGAATACCACCGTATCCAATATTGGAGGCATCTGTTTCCACAATTTTGAACCATGAAGAATTGGCTAGAGCTAAGCAAGGAATTTGTTTTGCTCTGAGTTTAATCTTCTGAACTGCCTTGGTGTTTTCCAAAGTCCGTGGGGAAGGAGATTTCCTTAACCTGGTGTACAAAATTGCTGTATCCTGTGCAAGATCTCTGTAGTGATTTCGAATATAATTAAAACTACCCAGAAATCTTTGAAGCTGAGTTTTATCCTTAATTTCATCTGGAAATTTAGAAGCAAACTCAATACTGCGATTAATAGGTCTAATTTTCCCATCACAAATTTCATGACCAAGAAATCTGACCTTAGTTAAAAACAGTTTTAGTTTAGGAGCAGAAACTACTAAACCACTTCGGTAAATAACATGTTTGAAAATTTTCAAGTGTTTATAATGCTGATCGATTGATTTGGAAAATATGAGAATATCATCAATATAAACTATAGAAAATTCAGTAAAAAGATTAAATATGTCATTCAAAATGTGTTGAAATTCTGAAGGGGCATTTTTTAATCCAAATGGTATCACTGTCCATTCATACTGTCCAAAAGGTACTCAAAAAGCTGTTTTGTACCTGTCCTCTTCTGCAATCTGTACTTGGTAATATCCAGATTTAAGATCAAATTTAGAAAAGATTACAGCAGATTGTAACCTATCTAAAAGATCTTTGATGTTGGGAATTGGGTATCGGATCCAACTCAAAGCAAGATTTAGTGGTCGATAGTCAATAACCAATCGAGGAATTCCTCGTTCTTTTTCAGCATTTTTATTGACATAAAAAGCTCTGCAACTCTAGGGGGAGTAGCTAGTAGTGACAAGCTTCTTTGCTTTTAAAGAGCTGATTTCAGTTTTACATAATTCCAAGTAGTCGGCTTTCATGTGGCTGGGACTAGCTTTAGAAGGAATCATGCGATCGGTAAATCCCTTTTCATAGGGTAAAGAAACAATATACTTCTTTCTGGCCCAAAAAGCATTAGGAATCTCACTACAGATTTCCTTTAGAAAATTTTGTCGTAGTGACTCAATTTTTTGTTGCTCAGTGGGTTGTACCAATCTTTGATTAATTGCTAAGGAGGATACCTCCTTTTGCAAATAATTCAGTTGCTTCTCCTTAAAGATAATGTTATCTTTAAGAGCATTGATATGCTTATTTACTGGTGGGGTCAAGAACTGGAAAGTAATTGACTGGCCATGTAAATTAGAGCATATTCCATGAGAATCAATTTTCTCAATTGGCATGATTAAAGTTAAAAAGGGAGTACTCAAAATAACTTGTTGTGGCATATTTCTGATGAGTAAGAAAGTAGATGGTAGACAAATACCTTCTTTACAAATGAAAACATGATTAAGTTTATACTTAATCTGCATCTTACCTCCACTTGCACTGGTAAGACCTTGAGTGGTTTTCTCAAAATATTGAGTAGGAACCAATCCTTCCTGTATGCAGTTCATGTCTGCACCACTATCAACTAAGGCAATTGCATTAGTGATTGTGTACTCCTGATTAATTACCAAATTGATAGATATATACCATTTTTGGTAAGTAACTTGATTCAAGAGTTGAAGATAATTAGTACCTTCTGATTGAAGGACTTCATCCTGGAATGTTGAAGGTGTAATTGCAGATTTTGCTTTTAAAAGAGTAATTTCCAAATCCATCTTAGTCTGGCGAGACTTTAATTGACGAATTTCTTCTTTTAAAAGATTAATCTCCATTTTAAGATCAGGGAGATTAGCAGGACGAGAATTGTGTCCTTGGTGTTCTAATCTGCTTAGAACTTCTTTCATGCTGTAATGATTTTCTGCTCTCAGAAAATCTGGATTATCCGTATCCTCATTAGATCGTGCCAGAGCAGAACCTATTTCAAAGACTTTCATCTTGATTTGAGGATCCTGGATATGATCTATAAGATCCAATAAGGATTGTTGAGTTGAAGTCAAAACATTTAAGCTTAACCCATTCATCTCAACAATTGCCTTATAATAATCATCATGAGAGGGATTACAGGAACATTTGGGATCTTCAATTTCTGCTTCAGAGGAAAAAGAAGACTGTAATTCCATAACAACATCCCCATAATTACTTGATGATTCTGATTCAGAAGAACTAGTATTAAGTAACAATTTACTTAATTGAAGTCTCAGTTCTTCTTCTATGTGAAAACTACTGAGTTTCTCCTTAGTTCTGCACTTGTTTGCATAGTGGCCGATACGTCCACATTTGAAACATTTAGCCTCAGCTTTGGGCTTTCCTTTACCCTTTGCTTTAGGAATATATTTCCTTTTAGGCTTAGTATATTGTCTAGAATTATCCTTTTCCTTTGAATAATTCTTTCTTTTGGAATACTTCCTTTTATAAGGTTTTTCAACCTTATTTCTTTTCCTAGGTTTAGGATAAGATAAGGGAGTCTGGTAGGCAAATTGATCACAAAATTCACCTACTTCCTTTCTACCAGTTAGTCTTTGTGATTTTAACTGGGATTGTAACTTCAGATCATTACAGAGAGCTAGACCTTCCTGGATTACAATGTTGACTAATCCACCATAGGTATAGTTTCTGTAAGGGATAGAAATACCATTATTCATATCTCTAAGCTTTTTCCTGATTCTTTCAGCAAAGAAGGTTGGTAAACCATCTACAAATTTGGCTTTCCAGTGCTCATGATTTGCATCATTGAGTTGGAGAACCTTTGCCAAGAATACATCTTTATACCACCTGAAATGAGTTAAAGATGGACATCTTAGATTCTGTAGAAGTTCACGACTGCGTTCACTATTAGCACCTTCAGGGCCAACAAAATGTTGGATTATGGTAGTGATGAGGGTATAAACCGCATCTGGAGCAGGTCCTGATTGTTGAGTAGCTTCATCTTTAACTAGCTTGGTAGCAGAAAAGATTTCAGCTTTCTGAATGTCAGTGAGGACATTATCCCACCATCCTTTAAGGATTCCTGTAAAACCAGCAACGACAAACTTAGCAATGGTTGGGTCAGTGTTGTTGTTGATTTTACAAACTTGGCTATACATCAAAATTTGATGAATAACCTCGTAAATCTGATAATCAGATTTGCCATCTATGTTCCATTCATAAATGGTCTTGCCATGAAAAGATTTTTGTGTATGGAAATAATCTTCTTCATACAAGATATCTTGAGGTGTGGGTCTGGGATAATAATATATACTCGGAGCAGGGGCTGTATTAGAGTGGATATTCTTATCATAGACGATTCGGTTTAACTCAGGCCTTTGAGTAAAATCATTGTGGAATACCTCAAGATGGGGTAACATATTTTCAGAATCAGAACCAATTTCAGATTCATCATGGGATAAAGTCTGAAGTTTAAGTCCTTGAATTTTCTGAGTAAGAAGAGTAAGAAATTCTTCATTCTTCTTAGGATGTGTAAGATTGAAGCCTTGAACTTCAATTGCAGGTTTCACCAATGCTTTGGATAAGGAAGCTTCTGGAGGAGAAGTTTTAACAGTAATACACTTAGTATTAATTGTATTTAATACCGTGTCGATGCCTGTTTCAATTCTCTCAAGCTGGGACCCTACCGTTTGTAAGCAAACATTTGTATAATTGTTCTGCCTGTAAACATGAGAAATGTCCTTTTTAGTATCATTACAGGATGGATCAATTATTCTAGGTTGGCTATAAGCCTTGGTTTCCACTTTGGAACCACTGTCAGGGTCAATCCTTTTCAGGATTAGATGTTCAGTGGGAGGATGGACAGAGTGAAAAACCTTATCTTCAGATGTGGTCCATGGTTTGAGAAAATCATCCAATATGTTGATATTAACAAGGGAATGATTGGTCATATAAAACCAAGAAACAAAAGGTAGAACCATTTTGCGTTCTTGGAGAAAGTCATAAAATTGAGTTTTAAAAAGCTGTAGTTGATTTTGATCAAAAGCTTTAAAATACCAATTTCTGAATTCTTTATATTGATCCTGTTGAAATTCAGTATTAATGACAATTCTATCTGGGACAAAATCCATTAAAACTAATATTCATGAGGGTCATTTATGTCTGCAGGATCATCAAATTGATCCTTGACAGATTCATTTTCGATTCCCATTTCAGATGGAGTTGGGCTGAATTCAATTCCAAATTGGCGACGAGACATACCTATTGGTGCTTTCTCGTAGACTCCTCTTGGAATTTGATTCTGAGATTGCTGTATTCCTTTCAACTTTAGTCGATTGGCATCAACCACTTCAGGGGGATCTTCCTTTCGGTAGTCCGACGAGATCGAATGGCGAGAAGGAGGACAAGAAACATGATAAGGAAGATGACTTCCTTTAGATGATGTAGATCTAGGTAGATCTATGGATTTTCTGAAATTCAGAAAAATATCACCATCTTGGTCCTGAATAACACAGTCTAAGCTATGATTAGCAATTGGCTGTGCCGGGACGGCATTAGAAATCGTCCAATATTCAGGAAATGTTATTTCACTCCAAGGAATCATCCTCTTTGTGGCAACATTGGATGTGTACATGTTAGTGTCCCATAACACTGTTACTCCTTTAGAGTCTTTGCGTATCGCATTTGGACACATAGTATCAAGTACTTTGTAATGGATGCGATAAATAACACTTATCACTTCCGATCCAGGTAAGTAATCATACCCATAGGTCTGAACCCTAAAACTAACTGCCTCATGGATATTTTTATCTGTTAAAGATAAATTCAGACTAGGATATACATCGAAATAAACCGGTCCATGACATAGACTGGTTTCCAGTGCACCCATCAAGGAAGGGTGAAATTTCAGACATCTAGCATCCCTTAAGGTTACTTGAATACAAGCATCCATACCTAACAAGGTCAAAGGTTTAAAAGCAATTTGAATTAAACCTATATGGATGTACTTATATTTGTGCATGTGCCTCTGAAGGTCACGGAAAGACAATAACTTAATTATTGTATCTTTTGTGCTTAATTGCATGGTCTGTTCCATGGTCTTGACAGTCCATAGATCAGTTAAATTAAGCATTCCGATTTTGTAAATGCTCTTAGCACTTACTGGAGGGATAGTCCATCTGTTCAATTTATTTTGAACATTAGTCCATTCCACTAATTCAGTATTTTTTACCAATTATGAATCCTGATTTTCCTGTACCCCAAAAGAGGAGGAAGATGGTTTTAACATGTCTGTTAAATATTGTTAATGCTTTAAGGTATATATAGTATAAATATTATAATATTATATAATGAACAGTAAGTTACTATTCTATCGTCGTTCTGCTTAAGAGAAATTCAATTACTCGTCTGTCAACGATTTACTGGAAACAGTACCCTGTGCAGCAATCTAATGCAAAACGGGTTAAACATTCCAACGCGACTTTTGGACGACCCATAATTGAATCAGGTTTAAACATAAGTTAGACAGAATAATATTCATATTGTTCATGATATAATTACGATAATAATCATGCTACCAGTACCTAAAAAGCATTAACAATAAAGAGTTAAGCTGTAATACCCCGTATTTTATTAAAGAGTTTAGTTTATTTAAATTCATTTATGTGTGGATTTCTTTACCTATTATTGTGCATGCTACATTGTTATATTAAGTTCATTTAATGGTGCATGTAAATTAATTGTATATGTTAAAATAGTAAATTTATTCATTTAATTGTGCATGTATTATTATTAATAATTTTATTTGTTGGTTATGTTTATATTAATCATTATTAGTTAATTAAAGTATTATATTTGTGTTATAAAGTATTATAATGATATAATGTATTCTTATGTAATAATAATAATAATAATAATAATAATAATAGTTTAATAATAATAATTATTATAATAATAATAATATAATAATAATTATAATAATATTAGTAATAATAATATTTATAATAAATAATAATAGTATTAAATCAATGTAATGATGAAAAATTAAATATGAGGATAGAATTTCATTTACTATGGTAGAATGGTGGATCAAATAACTTGACTATGATTTGCTAGCCTTAAAGCCTTATGGTTGGGAATGTGGTTAATTAAATGCAAAAAAAAAAAATAGATATTTGTAATATTTAAATTATATAAGTTATCTATATATAGAAGTTAGCCCTTTAGTTGAGGATGCACATAAGTTGAAGAAGGAAATAATAAAAGGGAGTTCTTGTATAAGACCGAAAGGAAAAGAGAGAAAGAAAGGAGTCTGGACCGGTGTAGGGAATTTACCCGACTACGCACAACCGGCGGATTTATTTTAAATCCATAAGGCAAGTTATTATCTACTTTTCCCCTTTGAATCCATAAATTAATTGTTTAGATTATTTAAATAATTATAGAGCTTAGAGATCATGCTAGGAAATTTATTAAATTAATTTTTTTATTTATTAAAGAAAGGAAATTTTAATTATTAAAGGTGGTCGATAATTATTTTATGGCCTATGTAATCAAAATATAGCTAAAAATAATTATTATGGCCTTTGGGATTTTTTTTTAGAATTTTCTAGAATTTTTCGGTAAGTTTCTGCAATTTTCGGCGACCTTCCGGCGAGTTTTTCAGTCGCCGGCAATGGGGGAGATGACCGGAGTGATCCGGTGTGATGCGGCGCACCATAGGAGGGTGTGCGCGCGCATCCTGGGCCTTAGATGAAGCTGATTGATCCGGTGCATCGCGGTCCATGTTACCGCGGTACACCCGGATCTATGAGCATAGGATTGAGTGATGAGAGGGTGAGATGATTCAGTGTAGCGCGCCCATAGTAGGATGTGCAGCCAACGAATTAGGACGAGCCACGTCATCAGGATGCATTAGTGCGCGCGTGGGAGCGCGTGCGCGCGCGTGGCTGATGCCAGACGCGCGTGGAGGCGCGTGGGAGAGTGGGGAAGGTTGGGCTGCGCGTGGGGAGGCTCTGGGAGGCGCATGAGGGCGCGTGTGGGGTCTCTACAGCTGCTGGAAATTACCAAAATACCCCTAGGGCCTGTTTTGTAAATTCCAGAACCTTAAACTTGGATTTTTAGGTACTGTGTTGGTATTTACGGGTTTAACGGGCCACGAAATTATTATTTTAATACCCGTTACTTATTCTTATGGCCGATTAATCTTTTCTAAGCATTTATTGGCTCGTTTACGGTACGGATACTAATGTGATTTATTTAACGACATTGTTAAATATAAATAGTATTATTATCTTATTAAATGGTATCAAACATTACTGTTAAATTAAATAATGCCATGGTTTTAGTCAGATAAATTATCCATGATATCTTATGGGATGTTTATACTGTTAAATGATATATAAACCATGATTATTATGCTGTGTGCATTTCCGGAAATAAATGGACTGTTTAATTATGTCGCATTTATATTATATGGATGTGTTGCCATATAGAACCATATGAGCTGGCTAATAAGTTTAGACTCATTTATACCTTATGCATTCGTTGCTATAGACAGATGTGTGGCTGTCGGGGTATGTGGTTTAATATTATTGGCATGTGTTGCCTAATTGACATGCTCAGTATATTTAGTAATATTATTGACATGTGTTGCCTAATTTTTTTGTTCAGTATATTCATCAGTACTTTGAGAGGTGTTATCACTGTGTAGTTCGTTATAGTCTGTATTGTCAGTACCGTGCACCATGTATAATAGCTGATTTCCCGGGTAGGGAAAGGCGACACTTAACCACCTAGTGTTAGTCTAAGTGATCACCGTCTATTCTGGTTGAGGTCATGTTATTCATTGGATAGTTCCCTTAGGATGTATACAGATATAGTACTCATCCGATTCATAATGATTAATTTATTTGATTCTCTGATTTGGGTCATAGTAGAGAGGACTTGCTCGTGGGGTTGACCCACCATTGTTGCTATTTCAGAATACGATCAGTACCCGTTCCAAGGTTGAGGTTAGCAGTGAGGGATTACCATCCGAACTCATCTACTCTTACGATCCAGTTCAGGGTAGAAGTTTTATGTATTACTTCAGTTTCAGTTTTTATTTACTTTTGACGTTGAACTCTCAGGGTTATTTAGGGATCCTTGACATAGGATTTTCAAGTTGTAATGGAGTACTGTATTAAATAAAGGATGGATGGATGTTGTATTATTTAGTGTTCCTTTCCTGTCTAAATTCTGTTATTATCATCATTTTATATTCCATGCTTGTATATTGCCAATTGTTTTTGATATCCCTCGTTTTTCGTGTATAAGCCTGATCAACTTATGCGTGGAAAATGTGGGGGTGTTACAGTTGGTATCAGAGCATTCCAGGTTCGAGTGTCTTAGGGATCTGTGATTACTATACTTCCGCGTTGTGTATTCTGATAATTAGAGCCTAAGTATTAGGGTTCTTTGTATTCTTTTAGTCGGTCCATTATAATGTACTGACGTTAGATTTTTCTGAATTCAAAAGAAGGATGTCTCGGCGTGGGATAAGGAATGCGAACCGTCATCGCAGTATTTCCCCAACTCAAAATGAGAATCAGGAATTTTCCCCTCAAGTTGCTGATATTATTGCACGAGCTGTAGCAGCAGGAGTAACATCTGCTCTACGAAACCAGCAACCTCCTCCGATAGTACCTATTCCTGAACCAGTGGCACAGCCAATGTCATGGGACAAAGTTCGTCACTCGTTCATCCGAGGAAATCCACCAACATTTGCAGGGTCCACAGATGTCCTGTTAGCATATCAGTGGAAACAGGAGAGCGAGCGTCATCTTCGGATGGTAATCTGTACCGAAGTGCAGAAACAGATGCTAGCTACGTTTATGCTGATAAGCAATGCATTGCAGTGGTGGGAGTCTATTACTACTGTCGAAGAGAGGACCAGATTGACTTATGCTGAATTTCAGACTCGCTTTGACGACAAGTATTTTCCTCTGTCAGTAAGATCAGCGATGAAGACTGAATTTCTGGATCTGCAACAGGAGGATATGACTGTGGCTGAGTATGAACAAAAGTTCATTAATTTGTCATTATTTGCACCAGAGGAGGTCAATACGGAAGAAAAGAAGAGAGACCGCTTTGTGAAAGGGTTGATATGGCCGATTAAAGTGGTGATCATAGGTAGTCCTGCATATACTACTTATATCCAGGTGGTTAATGCCGCCTTACAGCACTGCCAGATGAGGAGTGATTACCGGAAGTCCAAGGGAGATAAGCGGGCTAACCGAGACTACCAGACAGTGGAGAAAGGAAACAGCAGTGGTACCAAGTCCAATGATCGGGGCAGATTTCAGGGACGTCAACCTTGGAAGAAAAACAAAGGAAACCCAGATGTGCAGAGGGATGGAGTCCCTAATCAGGGTAGACAAGGTGGGGTACCTCAGACC